TGGGCTCTCTGCCCCACAGGGAGAAGGGGCGGTCAGATGTTCTGGGCCGAGAAGAAACTGGGTTTTGTGTGAGAGATGCCACCAGTTTCCCAAGTGGATTTAAGCCTCGCATCACCACATGGAGAACTGCTGTTTGTCTGGTTTTGGTGTTAATAAGAAAAAGGAAGGAACGTATCTGCAGAAGCGTGTAGCACACGTCCTTCGTATTTTGGAGCCTAAACCATGGTTGTTGGGAGCCTACTGCTCAGCTAGTTGAGTGGGAGTAAGAGCATTAGGGATCGTATTCTTCGTTGGCCTCAAATGCTTTAAGCAGTGTCGTAGGTCACCTTGAAGATGTGCTTTGCGTATCATAGTGATTCAGGCAGCAGATGGCTGGCTTTATAATTCCCTAGTTGCATTCTTGGAGCATGGAAACCACGAAGAAAGGGAGAGGGGGATGTGTATGGAGCGTGAGGTCAGAAAGAAGAGTACAGGGAACAGAAAAGAAAGCAAAATGTTTGGGCAGGTGAATGAGTGGAGGGGATATACATGAAATGGGATGGAAGTGCATAACCGTAAGTTTATTTCAGTTCCAGAGCAATGAATAGCAGCTAGAGTGTATCAGTGAATATTGCCCTAAAAGCTTAAAGATTTACACTGCAGGTTATTAAATGCATGGAAATAATAGGCTGTCACACTTCTGTTGGGTCTGATTACTATGTATTAGACTTCACTACTCGTAAAATTGACTCTATTTTACTGTAGTCGGAGTCCTTTTACTTTTAATGAAGCCTACTGTTCATCTTGGGAATGTGCAATTTCTTCAGAATCAAAAATACTAAACTTAGAGAATTCATTACATTATTTGAGATACAGAAGAGTGTGCTCAAACTATTCTACCACAATGGGTAAAAATGAAAAACACTGCATTCATGTATAAAAGCAAATGTACTCAAAGGCAGGACTATAAGCATATGTTAATCATAACTGTACGTTTATTGCACAGTGACATGGTGTCAGGGTTGTTTTGGGTATTCAAGTATTTCCAGAAATCCCTTTGATAAGAATTTTTTTTTCAGTGCAATGTTAACTGCTTACTTCCTGGGCTTATAACATTTGTTTTGGAAATAACTACAGCGTTCCTATGCTGTGTTTCAGTTTTATCCAGTCTTATCTCTTTCTTTAATATACTGGTCTGGGGATTTAATATACTTTTGGTCTGGGGATTAATTACTGTTTCACATGCTTTAAATATTTTATTAGCATTTGCCCCAAACTTCTCTCCCTCCTTAGTTATGACAAGAATTATTTCTACAGAACAGTCAGATACAAAACTCTTTACAGGCCCTAAACTTAAAATCTTACATAGATGTTTACATAAAATGTTGGAGCTGATCTTCATTTTCACATGAGCAGCTGGTCACTAATACTTTTTCATTACATAGATGTATTAAAATCAGTTCTCCCTTTGGGTGGAATGAACCTGACTGTAGACAACTATGTCTCTGCCATTGTCCTTAGCTCCTTTGACAGATAATAGATAAAAGCTCTTCCAGGTACTCGTGCCTCAGCTCTGCAGTAAACGTTCACTTTTGAGTGAGAGGAGTCTCCAGCTCTGAAAGTGTCTGTTGTTCTGTGGTGACAAGAATGGCAAGACAGCTACCTGTGATAAACACATCTATCTTTGGCAGATGAATTCCATCACATGGGTTGATACTTGCTATGGTTCTACTTTCTTGGGAAGAAACATAAAGTGGCAGTAATTCAACAACTAATTTTTTTTTTTTTTTGCTATGAGTGTCAAGATATATAGAGACGCTTAAAATTTTCTTTAAGAAAATTGCTGCATTTGTATATAATTTTACAATATTAGTACTAAATGCAGCAAACTTGTGATTTACTGAGAAAAGAAAAAAGGTTGTTATATACACGTGCAGAAAATGATGAATTCCTGCCAGTTAGCTCTAAAGTAACTTATTTCATGCTTACAGCACCCTATTAAATAGAGCGTCATGCACAGTCCTAAACAATGCAGGTGCGAAGACAGGCAAAACCACATTAAATAAGTATGAATCTGTGCCAGCAACCCCCCCTAGTAAAGAGTGGTTCTCCTCTGTTTTTCAAAGATTAGAACTAGATTAGATTAGACTAGATTAGAACTAGATTAGAATAGCTCTTTAGGACTGAAGTTTTAATGACCATAGAATTTCATATACGTTAAATTTCCTCCTCTCTTTGGTTTTTGTAGTTACAGTATAGTGGTTTCCGTTAAACGGAAAGTGACTTAGCTTTGCTAGCTGCTGTTTGATAGCAAGTGAAGCAAATGCTTCTGCACTTGTGAATTATTCCCACACCTTCCCACTCTACCCGAAAAAAAGAGACAAAAGAGAGACAGAGACAATAACTGTTCAATGTGTTCCTAGGTGTTTAACTGCAAAACAATATTTGAAAGTGAATTTGTTGACTGATCTCTAATGAAAAATGCTATTTTATAGCAAACTTTTTAGAGAATAATTAAAGCATTTGGAAATAGGGACTTGGACAACATCATGCC